GAACTCTGGGAGTTGAAGTCCACACATCTTAAAGTGGCCAAGGTTGAAAAACACCGGTCTAAGCTCTACAATAGGCACATCACCACGACAAAAATAGACTTTCCTGCACATTTCACCACTGTGCTCTGGCATGACACCGGTCTGCCCCCAGCCTCCCCCATGGTCAGTCTACTTACAAAGTACATGACTTGCCTTGAATCTGTGGCCCCCACAACGGAGCCACTGAACGCATCCCAAATGCAGAAGTTCACATGAAAAGGCGGGTTGAAACTGGAACTCAGGGCAGGTGTGACATTTGAGATACAGAGCCAGGTACTCAGATATCCGGCCATCTATTACACCTTCTGGTGACGGGCCAGCGGGGTTGTGTTCACACGAGACACTTACTGGACAATGAACACAAATTTCAGGCCCATGGAATACATGCGTGGGTTAGAACAATGTTTCTCAACATTGGGAACTTTAAGATGGGTGGACTTCAATGCCCAGAATTCCCCAGTCTCCCTGATCCCAGTCAATTCTGGGAGTTGAAGTCCACCCATCTTAAAGTTCCCAACATTGAGAAACACTGGGTTAGAAAAAGCTTTGTGACCCCACCATGAATTCCTGGAAAGCAACGAATGATTCTATTGACCTCTAGCCAGAAATTGAGAATTGGAGGCTAAATCAAGGGCTGCTACGTGCATACAGTGAAGTAGCACTCAGTCACTGGAGACTGAAAACCGAGAGAATCCAAAGGCATTATTCTCAGTCATCTAGGCCAATGCTCTGTAATTGAACAGAATTCTGAAGGCAGAGTGATTTGCTTCCCAGCAGAAAGGACTCCGACCTGCACATTTTCTCCTCGGATCTCCGCAAGCAATTAATAAAAAAGAAAAGATGCAAGGGACTTCTTGGAAAAAAAAAACTGATTGCTTTTCAGAAGAGTTAATCCAGCACGTCATGTTTCCGAGCATTCCCCCCCCCCCGCCTTTTTTTCCTTTCTTCAAAAACTTTGCATCCTATCATGGGATTTTTTTTTTTCGCGTGCGGTCCATCCCACCTTGGTCTTTGGGTTTTTTCTGGTAA